AAGACCCAGGAGGCGGAGGTTGCGGTGAGCCGAGATCGCGCCATTGCACTCCAGCCTGGGTTCAGGCAATTCTCCTGCCTCAGCCTCCTGAGTAGCTGGGATTACAGGCACGTGCCACCATGCCCAGCTAATTTTTTGTATTTTTAGTAGAGATGGGGTTTCATCATGTTGACCAGGATGGTCTCGATCTCTTGACCTCGTGATCCACCCGCCTCGGCCTCCCAAAGTGCTGGGATTACAGGCTTGAGCCACCGCGCCCGGCCCGACTTTATATCTTTTACAAAAATTAATTCAAATGGATCATAGATCTAAATATAAAATGCAACACTATAAAACTTCTAGAAGTTGGCGGAGTTTTTAGGCACAACACCAAAAGTAAAATCCATGAAACATGAAATTGTCAAGTTGCACTTTGTTAAAATTAAACACTTCCAATCCATAAAAGACACTGATGAAAGAATGAAAAGACAAGCCACAGACTAGGAGAAAATATTTGCAAAATACACATCCAAAAAAGGACTTGTATCCAAAATACAGAACACATTTTTTTTTTTTTTTTTGAGACAGGGTCTTATTCAGTCACCCAGTCTGGAGTGCGGTGGTGTACTCACTACAGCCTCCACTTCCCAGGCTCAGGTGATCCTCCTACTTCAGCCTCCCAAATAGCTGGGACTACTGATGCATGCCACTACAACTGGCTTTTTTTTTTTTTTTTTTTTTTTTAAGAGACGGGCTTTTGCCATGTTGCCCAGGATGGTCTTGAACTCCTGGGTTCAAGGGATCTGCCCACCTTGGCCTCCCAACTTGCTGGGATTACAGGCATGAGCCACGACACCTGGCCCAACAATTCTTAAAGTTCAACGATAAGAAAAAGACATACGATCGTAAATGTGTATACACCAACAACAGAGCATCAAAATACTTGAAACAAAACCTGACAAAGCTGAAAGGAAAAACAGATAAATTTATAATTGTAATCAGGGATTTCAACAACCCTTTCTCAAAAATTGGTAGAACTACTAGAAGTACTACTATAGAAAATGAGCAAGGATATAAATAATCTGAGCATGATCAACAGGATCTAGTTACATACATAGAACATTCCACCCAACAAAGCAGAATACACTTTTTTTTTTCCAAGTACCCATGGAACATGACCAAGATAGATCGTGGCTTGAGTCATAAAATAGGCCTCAACAAATTTAAAAGAACTGATATCACACAAAGTTTGTTCTCTAACAGACTATAATAGTTTCTAACAGACTATTCATAACAAAATAATGGAGTCAAACTAGAACTCAACGCAGTCAGAGAGTTCAGGATAGTCCAGATGAGATGCTATTGGGCTAGTGACAATAAAAAGAATATCTCTGGAAACTATACAGAAAGTTTCAAAACTACTGTTAATGTAGCTGAAATATTTTATATCTGCATCAACATTCTTTTCCATAATATACTTTTATATTTTAATAATGGCAAATGAAAAATGTTATAGATATAAAATAGATTTCAAAACATATCTGTAATCTGACTTACAAACCAACTTTTGGAATACCACATATTAATTTAAGGCTGTAAACTTATAATAATTTACAATGAAATAAAAACTTTACCTTCCAATGGAATGTCTAAAAGATTGGCATGCTTTGTTTTCACATGAGTTTCCATATCTTCACTATGCTCCTCTATTTTTCCACAGAAAGGACATTCGGGAGGACTGTACGTTGTTTCATAAATAGATCCTTTTATTTCGGTCAAGCCAGACTGTTTTTCCTTACTTGTCAGGAATTTTCTAGATTCACTTAAGTTCTCTGAATAAAAGGCTTCATGTTTTAAAGTACTATCTTTAATCAGGCTTTGAGCTGAATTTTTTGGATTAGATGTACAACCTGAATGAATACTTGAATTAACTTCTGTTCCACACTGTAGAGTGTTGTCTTTCTTGTTATCTGAAGTTCCATATTGTACTGTATTTATCCTCTCAAAGTTTCTTTCAAGTGTATTCTGCTCAAAATGAGCTGTTTCAATATGAAAACACATTTTATCATAATTCACACCTGACAACTTGCAAAACGGACATATAATTTCATTTTCCATGTGAACAATTAGAAGGTGAGCCTTCATGTCTGGTTCTGAGGTTACTGTTTCTCCACAAATATCACAGGAAAGCATGGTATGACAAGTAGCTAGAAAAGAACATTATTTTAAGTTTCAAAGTAAAATTTGAAGAAAAAATGCATTTCATAAAATGATTTGAGACAATTATTTGGTCTTTAATGCTGGATTATTTTGATGAAGAAGTTTTCAATGTACTTACTGTTCCTCAAATACACAAACTTATTTATAAATAGCAACCAAAATTTCAAGTGTATCGTTTCAAAAAATAATAATAATAACAAAATAATGAAAACAAGTAATTTTAAAAATAAAATATTTCAAAAAATGTCTCTGGCCCAAGGTTGAGAAAAAATAACGTTTAAAAAATTGTCCAGGTAAGATAAATCAGGTAAGAAAAAATGAAAAGAAACCTCTTTATCAACTGATATATCTAAATACTGAACACTGAAGCTGATTATATTGAGGGTAAATAAGCACATCTTAATAATAGAGGTTAACACTTAAACAGCTTTACATGTATTAAACTAATTTAAGTACTATTATTATCGTTCTGCACATAAAAAAATCCTGACTCAGGTCACCACAGGTAGAAAAAGGTGGAAGTCAATATGCTAACTCAGTCATGCTCCACAGCCTGTACTCTCAACCCCAAGAATAAATGCAGAAGTAGCATAGTAGAAAAAAAACCCTTATTCCAGAGTCAAGAGAACTGGGTAATTTCAGATTCATCATTTTTAGGTAAGGCATCTCATCTCTCTAGGTTCAGTACTACTTTTGGATTTATGGATAAATGAATTACTGACTACTGACATAAAAGTGTTAAGAAATAACAATTTAAAAAAAGCAATCACCTCGGCGGCAGCACCTTCCTACTACAGACCATCATTCAGCCAAAGACAATTAAAAAAAAAAAATAAGAAAAGAAATGATACTATTCCCTTCATTTAATAAATTTACCTTTAAAATACCTCTTTACATGGTCCTTATTTTTCTCATTTCTCTCCAGACGAATGGATATAGTCTCTGATTTTAGAAGGCAGTTTTCCCACCCCCCACCCCGAAGTGTGATTAATGTCACACCCGGAGTTTCTTTTCCGGTTGCTGGGACACGGTCAGACACAGAATGATGCATTTGGACGTGGACTCAGATGAAGCGGGTAAGACACAAGAGGGTACCCAGATGCATCGGAGGAAGCTAGTGAGAGACAAGACGGTACCCAGTGCCGGGATAGGTGAGGCCATAATGCCGCAAGGCCGAGTCTGACAAACGTTCCGTGCCAAAGGGCCAAGCCAGGGACACAAAACTAACAGGCACGAAATAGGTCAAAGCTTTGGGCCTGGGGAATGAGGGAGGGGACCATCAATTCTTACCGTCCCGGAGGCCAGCAGCTGCCACACTGTGCTCCGCTAGGCTTCCCTTTTGGTCCTTAGCTGCCAGAGGAGTGCGTGCGCGGCGTCCAATATCTCTCCCGGCCTGAAGACTGAAGACAGGCCCTTCCAATACGCAGAGATTCAGTTAACCGAGGAAAATAATTAGGAATTTCCAACACCTTGGCCCTCAATACCTCATTCAAAATACACTTCCTTAGTCCCACGGAAGAGAAGGAATCCCAGCATGCGCTGCTCCACGCCGGTCTGTGTGCAGTGCATTCTGGGAGACGTAGTCATTTTGCATTCCTCCCATTTCCGATATTTTCCTTCCCCCAAGTCTTAGTGACCTTAGAGCCCACTTTTCTCTCCTAGCAAGTGAAAAGTGGGCTCTAAGGTCATTAAGACTTAATCTGAATGAGTTCATAGGGCAGTTCCTGGGGCAAACAGTAGTCTACAAGCTCCCTGTAGGGCCTGCTGAGTAGCACTCTATTTTAGTATCAATGATGGGTTTATAATATTGCTAGGTATCAAGCTCCCAGCTGTACGCTGAAGGTAGAGGATACCAGGTTCTTTCCTCAAGGTTACAGGATAACAATCTTGGTATGTATGTATGTATGTATGTATTTTTTAGAAACAAGGACTCTTTCTCTCACCCAGGCCAGAGCCCAGTGACTACAATAGCTCACCACAGCCTCGAACTCCTGGCCTCAAATGATGCTCCCAACTCGGCCTCCCAAAGTGCTCACATTGAAAGTGTGAGCCACCATGTTAGTCCAAGATCACAATGTTTTATTTTTTGTTCAGCCTTTATTTCATTCAACAAATATTTAAGGAGTGTCTGTTAGAAAAGCATTGCTTGGAACAGGAGCTACAGCAGTAATCAAAATACACAAAATCCAGGACTTTTGAGGCTTACATGCTGGTGGGGTATAGGAAATAAAAAGTAAATTAACTGATCATGATAAGTACTATGAAAAAAATAAAACTGGATTGGCCAGGTGCAGTGGCTCACACCTGTAATCCCAGCACTTTGGGAGGCCAAGGGGAGTGAATCACCTGAGGTCAGGAGTTTGAGACCAGCCTGGCCAACATGGTAGAACCCCATCTCTACTAGAAATACAAAAATTAGCTAGGTGTGGTAGCACGTGCCTGTAATCCCAGCTACTCTGGAGGCTGAGGCAGGAGAATCTCTTGAACCCGGGGAAGCGCAGGTTGCAGAATCTAAGATCACACCACTGCACTCCAGGCTGGGCAATAGAGAGCGAGATTCAGTCTCAAAAAAATAATAAAAAAACAAAAATTAAACTGGATTATAGAGATGCTAATGTTGTTAGAAAAAGTCTGACATACAGGTTAAGTGTGCTGATGAACAAACCTTGCACCAACAGGAGAAAGAGCATTTCAGACAGATAAATGTTCTTAGTTAAGTTAGTTATTGCTTAGCATCATGACATTACGATTCATCTAGTATGTGGGCAGGCGTGGTGGCTCACGCTCTCAAATTATTAATTTGAGATGCCCATCAGACATCCAAATGGAGGTTTGATATATGCGTTTAGACCTTGGGGAAGAGGTCAGGGATGGAAATTTGAAGTTGGGAGAAAGTGGTTTACAGATAGATGGCTTTTAAGGTTATCCAATGAAATATCCAGGTCCCTATTTTACCACTCTGTGGGAAGGCTGCCAGTTGGTGAACAAACAAGCCCCAGTGACGCACAGTTTATAGACGGTTTCTCTAGTGTCTTATTCTTAAACATGCATAAATACCCAAAGGTTCCAGGCATTTGAGTACAGCCTATGGCAAGTAAGATGGAAAGCTAAACAATAATCATAATTTTAAAAGTAAATTCTGAAGAAACAAAGAAAGAGAAAAAAAATCAATGGAAACCATAATTAATATCCTCAGAGAGATAAAAAAAAATGTACTGAATCTCTAAATCCAAAAGAAAATAGCTGCTGAGATTAAAAATCAATTGCATACTTTAAAATACATATATTAATAGAGGCCTGGAAGATAAAGCCCAAGAAATTTCTCCAAAAACAGAATAAAAATAACAAGGGTTAGAAAAACAGGAAAGAAAAATAATCAACACAGGAGTATGCTGTATCACCTAGAGAGCCAATGCAGCAAAGTAAGACGCCTGGCACCAACATTAAAGGTTGTTTAGAAGAGGAAGACCAAATAAAGAGGATGAGAAAGAGGAGGCATGAAGCTGAAAGAAGTCCATTCATTTCTTTGTCTTTGGACAACTGAAAAAGTATGCACACATTTTCTTGTGAAAGGATTTTCCTCCCCCACTGCTAAAGGATCTAGTCCAAATTCCACTCTGGAAATTGCACTCTGGTCAAAGGGAGCTGCTGCCTCACTCAAGATTAACCCTCCTCTCTGGATTTGATTCAGTGATACACAGTGACTTCTTGATTCAGTAATATAAACATGAGCCTCTAGCCTCAACAGTGACAATTCTGAAGGGCCACCCAGCCCCATTTCTGCACTTCCTGTAAGATTGTCTGAAGACTCTGTTGCTAATAATGCAGCATAATTTATTTCTCTGTAGAATCCTGCCTCCTCACTCCTGACAGTTATCATTCCAGAAGAGCACTCTGCAATAAATATCAGGTGGCAAATCTTGAATCTCAGACTGTTTCCCTGTGTTTCATGAAAGGGCTGTAAATGCAAAGCAACCCGCAAATGCTGATGGAACCAAAAACCAAAAAGGTAGAAAAATTGAGTTCGTTGGTCTCTGGTGATTTATTAGGGGAACTTACAGACAGAAGTGGGGTCTTGGGTGGCCACAAGACAGGTAGATCTCCACACCACAACCCTCTAGACCCAGGGCTTATGTCTTGGGGAAAATATATGTGCTGTGGAAGGAATGTTTAGGTGGCTACAGGTGTCAAAGCCTATGATTTCTGCAGCTGCATCAAGGGTTGTTTTGGAGGAAACTTATGATGAATAAGTGTTCCTACTTAAAAAGTAATATATAAACTAGCCATTTTGGGAGCATTCCTGGATTTGGGGTTAGTCAGAAGTTACATGGCAGAATAGCATTTCAAATAAAATCACTCTTGTCCCCACGCCCTGGATCAGACCTATGGACAGCAGCAAGGATACATGCTGTTGTGTGGAATGACTTCTGCTACAGAAGTGAGGGTAATTTAACAATAATTCACAACTTCAAAAATTAGGATGCTCATATGTCCCAGTTTGCCCAGGACAGTCATCCCAAAAATAGTATCCCATTCCACTATAAAAAATATCCTGGTTCACAAAATAAATTATATGATCCTGCTACTATTATCTTTGAGTCTTAATCTAGTTCTCATTAAGGTAAACTACTTAGGTACAAATCACAACGGCTTCTCTTACTAGTCCTATAACAGTGGAAAGTTTACTTACACATTCATCTGTGTCTCAGTGTCCACTATCTCATGGGATCCTTGTAAAGTACATCCAATTTTAATTTCACACTGATCAACAGGATCTAAGAAGAAGTATGCTCTTACTTTGAAAACTTACCTGCTGCCTTATTCCATTTGGGCTGCCATAACAAAAACACAAAAAATGGGGTGACTTATAAACAGTAAACATTTCCAGACAGTCCCCGACTTATGATGGTTTGACCTATGACATTCCAACTTTACAATGGTGCAAAAGTGATACACATTAACAATAAACCATACTTAAATTTTGAATTTTGATTCAAAAATTATTTATAACTTTATTAACATAGGCTTTGTGTTACCTGACTTTGCCCAATTGTAGGCTAAATGTTCTGATCATGTTTATTATAGTTTATTCTAGGATAAACTATAATGCTCAGTAGATTAGGTGTATTAAATGCATTTTTGACTTACAATATTTTCAACTTGCTGATGGGTTTATTGGGGCATAACCCCATTGTGAGTTGAGGATCATCTATATTCCTCATAGTTTTGGAGGCTAGATGTCAAAGATCGAGGCTCAGACAGATGAAGTGTCTGATGATAGCCAGTTTCCTCATAGACATAGACAGTGCCTTTAGCCTCATAGACAGTACCTCTAGCCTCACATAGTGGAAGAGGCAAGGCAGTTCCTTTCACCTTGTTTTTACAAGGGCACTAATCCCATTATTAGAGCTCCATCCCCGTAATGTAATCATCTCCCAAAGGCCCCATTTCTTAGTACCATCGCTTTGAGAGTTAGGTTTCAACACATGAATTTGAGGGGGACAAAGATATTCAGACTACAGAGTCTGCATAAGTAAAAAGAAATTGTTGAGGCTTGGGCTAGAACCCTTTCTTTTCCATCATGGCCTGTGAAGGAGGTAAGGTAACAGGGCAGTGAGCTCTCTACTTTTGAGGCAGCAGCTTTTGGGATAGAAGGACCACTGAGAAGTGGATTTTATTTTGATAGGCAGATTGGGAAAGATGCCATAGAAAGTCAGTTCTTGGTAGGAAGTTGCTGTGGTTGGCATTGCATGGTACTAATGAATTCAACATCTTGATACCTATCCTATTCCTCCAGTTCTTTTTTGGATATGAAAAGCCAGGATCCAGACCCTGCTAAGCAGTGGTCTAAGAGACACTATTACCATCTCTTCTGCCATATCTATCCAGGGGGAAGGCATGTCCAGACAGCAGGAATCTTCAGGACTATAAAAACAAGTACAGATCATCTGAATGAGAACAAGCAAAGCCAAATTTATTTGGAGCGTACAATAGCAACAGAGTCAATCAACATCACTTGCATTTGTTAGAGACTCGGCAGGCAAAGGAGTGGGAAAGCTTTATAGTGCAAAAAAGGGAAAGCTTCAGGTATGCCAGTTCAAGACTGTTGGCATGGAGAAGCTGCAGGTGGGCTAATTAAAAGCAGGGGATCCTATGTAATTATTGAGGGGTGGGTACATACTTGGCTTTCTCTAGCTGCCCTTGAGTTGGAAGCTTTCTCTAGCTGCCCTTGAGTTGGAAGCTAGACAAAAATTAGGGAAGCTGTCAGTTATTAATCGCATCCTGGCCATTTAGGGTAGATTGCTACAAGGGTTATTTCTTGGCTTCCTAGACTGGTGGCTACATACAGTAGTCTGACTTCTTGGGCTGGTTACTGTACATAGTAGGTTGGCTTCCTGGGCTGGTTATTGAAGGTTATAGGTTAGGGTTCTATTTGAGTATATAGTCTGACCATTGTCTATTTGAATTTAGTCTCTCAGGTGAGAGGAGTAGGGAGGAAATAAGAAAGGGATAGGGTGGCCAGGTGATTAAGGCAAATAAACTCAT